GGAATGGACCTTTTCAGATCCATTGTTGGCAGTTTTCATTTTACATAGCACCAACCAAATGTGGAAAGATTTAATGATTAAAAAGCATGAAATAGAAAAAAGAAGAAGTTGGTCGAGTAGCATAAAGACTGCTCAGGACTTCCACACCTGACTGAGGAGGTCTGGGTCAGTCTTCACCATCTTTTTAGGTGAAGCAAAAAAACCCCAAACAATCCAGCAATATAAGCACCCTGGCCAAGTTAATGCTAATTTTTTACCTGCTAGTTTAGTGCAGTGTTACTCCCACCGAGGAATGGAGATGAAGCCAATAAACATCCTGCAATACTAAGTTTTAATCACAGGTGACTGTACCAGAAATATAAACAAGTTACCTGTAAGCAATGAGCTCCACATCCCTCCAGAAATCTCTTGCATCAGACCAACAGCTTCAGCTGTCCTTTAAAGCACCTCAGTCCAGTCCTTCACAGCTTCAATGGCAACTTCAGAAGTGCAATATTCACCACCCAGCTCTGAGCAGCTGAAACAAGATATGATTTTCTAGATGCATCATGCTTTTGTTTTGCTGTTTGGGTTTTTTTTTACTTTCGTAGCACTTTGTAGAAGCTTTCAGAACCACCTATGTCAACAGGCATTTTTCTTCTCCTTTATTCCTCCTGAACCCGTTTCAGCGGCTAGAACAGTTGTACCCTGCAAACCCCAGCAGAGACTGACCAAACAGATCAGACTGGATCCATAAAGAAACAGGAAGTTTTATGCTAGCTATGATCTGTAGCAGGTTGTTTTGAGAATGTTCAGTGGTTTTTTGACTGAAGGGGCTTATTTTCTTTAATTGCAGCCAGGACATTGAGCAGCAATTGGGCTCCCTCATCTTGGCAACAGACATCAACAGGCAGAATGAGTTTTTGATCCGTTTGAAATCCCACCTTGACAATCAGGATTTGAGGTTGGAGGATGCACAAGACAGACATTTTATGCTTCAGGTAACTTTAAAAAATATTTTTCTACTATTGTTTTTTAATTCACTTTTGAAGTCACAATATTCTCTAGTGTGTGTTAGAATAGCATATGATAGCATATGTCCAGTGTGTCTGGACATCATCATCTCCTTACCTATCACCATGAACACTTTCATTCTGCCATCTGGCTTGTCAGGCAAGAATAAGTTGCCTCTGGTATTTCCTTATGAAATTTCCTTGAGTTTAAAAGCTGTGAGTGCGACAGATACAGGAGAGTGTCAAATGCTGAGAAATTAAGATAAGCTATTAATTTCCTTTCCAGACCACTGCTTCTCTTGCCAGGTAATGCTTCAATTATAGTCTCTTTTCTGGCAAATGTCACTTCACTGGTGTTATTTCCTAGTACTGTGCAGGAGGGCCCCCTTGTTGGTGTTCTTTCCAAGACAGCCTGGCATCAGGTGCCCAAGTCCCATTCCTGTGATGGATGTTCAGAAACTGCCTCGGCAAAGGCAGCTGTTGCCATGGCAGCAGGTGCTTCTCTAATGGCTCTGCCCAGCTAATGAGGAAACCATGCTTTATTTAAAAACCAAATAGGTTCAGATTGGTTCTTCCAGCAAAGCTGCAGTCATTAACAGGCTCTTCAGAATAAATGTCTGCCTATTAAAGCATTATTGTGATTAAAGTAGCTACATGTACATGGTTCTCTGGAGAAATGACGTTAATTTCGCTCTTAAATGCATAAAGGAGTTTAAGAACTCATCATTTATAAAACAAATATCTACATGTTACCACTTTCTCAAGGTTATAGGAAGGGTGAGAGTTGCAAGGAAAGAACTACTGATCTGCTAATTCTTCCCCTTCCAGCAGCATGGGAAATATAGGAATCTACTCACCTGTCCTCCATCGAACACACTTTCTGTCAGATTCCTGCATGGGCTGTGCAGGGCAGGGTGATGGGCTTATTGTATTTCTGGCCAAGATTAGGCAGGAAGGTTGTGCAGAATTCAAAGGCAGAGGGATTACAAACCTCAACTATGGCAAAAAGGTTCTTAAGCGTTTCTCGGAAGATAGGAATTAGGGCACAGAAAAGGTGAGATTTACTTATCTGGTGGATTAGTTGTGGAAGAAAAGGAAGTAAAAGTATTAAGGAATCTTGATTGATTGGGATAAGTTAAAGAACGTTTGAAAGGTCCTTTTAAATAGACAGTAACATTAAAGCTAATAAATTTAATTCAGAAGGAAAAGTGACTTAGAGGCTTTCCTCCTCCAGTTTACAGGCCTGAATTTATACAGGAAACATTTCTTACGTTTTCCTCCTGGATGCCAGCATCCTTTCTGACCTCTGTCAGGCTGGCTGTGTACAGTCTGTGAAGAAACAAGGCACATGACATCTTGTTCCAAGGCAATGAGACAGACAGACTGTTACATGGTTTACTTTTTTGAAGCAGTTACTTGATTTTAAAAACCTCTTGCCCTCCTGTACTGCTTCCCCTGCAAAGCACTTCAAAAGTACTAGTTAACTAAGTGAAACCAAGCTGAGACGGTGTGGAAAGTTCTGAGCTTAGCTTTGTAAACAAAAAGGTGAAGTGTGACTGAAGTGAGATGCAAGGTCGCTCCCTGAGACCGCAGAGAAATTATGCCCAAATACACCAGCTTGGCTCTTCCCTTCTCTGTCATCAGCCATGGATGCTGAGCCAGGCAGTCAGCAGGAGCCAGCCTGAGGCTTTTGTTAGCTTATCGCTTGCAAGGAATATCCAAAAAGACTTTGCAGCCTTGGAATTTGGCCCTCCTCTTGTTCTCACTACAGTTAAGCAGAGGGCTGATGCTCTTTCCTCAGGAGGCATATTTGGGTGAGGCTGAGTCTCTAAAAGGTGATCTTAACCCTTTCCAGCACCACTGGTGAGGCTTGGGAGTTTCATGACTGGAGATGTACTGCTGAAGCACTGCTAGGCAGAACCTTCTTTTCTCATGGGTCCTTTTCCCCTTTGGTTCCAGATCGCCCTCAAGTGCGCTGACATCTGCAACCCCTGCCGGCTCTGGGACCTGAGCAGGCAGTGGAGCGAGCGGGTCTGCGAGGAGTTCTACCGGCAAGGTCAGCCCCCTCCCCTTCCCCTCGGCTCTCCAGGCCGTTTATGTGGTGAGACAGAGGTAGTATTCAGCCTGCCCTTGGGCCCTAAAACCTCCCTCAAGAACAAGCTGTTGAAGAGACGCTCTGCCTCGTTTGAGAAGTGCGAAGGGACAGAAGAGCAGCGAGTGTTTCTTTGCCCTGGCTGCTCCGGTAGCAGCCTCAGGCAGGAGGGAGGGCTCTGCTCTGCCTCAGTGCTTGCATTTGGCTGGAGACCTCCTGGCTGGATTCTTCTCTGAGAACCCTCCAGTCACCCTTAGCTCAACTGAGCTGGAATGGTGCCAGGGCCACACTGCACCAAACTCTGCCGCTGCCCTCCGAATTCTGTCTGGCTTTTCACGCTCCTCCTGCAGCTCTGACGGGAGCCTTAGCCTCCCTGCTTCCCAAATATGACACATTCTTTTGGGCACAAATGCAAAGAAAGGGTTCAAACGCAGTTCCCAGCACACCAAGCTCTTCTAACACTGTTGAAAGGGCCAAAGCAGGCAAGCCAAAGCTCAGCTAGAACCTATTGCACATGTTTTCAAACCCCAGCAGAGAATGCAGTCAGGCAGGGTTGCTTTTTTTTAAACATAATAATTACACCACTTGGCTCTATCTGCATAGGCAAGGTCATGCTGTGCTACAAGACAGGGTGCAGCAGAGTTTAATCACTGCTAAATTCTTTGTTTGGAGCATCCCGAGAGCTGAAGGCAAGTGGTACAGACACTGGGAGAGCACACAGTGAAGTTCTAAATTCATTTAGAATTCTGCACTACAAAAGTTAAGGCACATTTGAGCTGGTACCAAGTACAGTTAATCCATAACAAGGCCAAATAGGTCATCAGGTTAATTTTCAGCCAGTGTCAGCTTAAGCTGGTGAAATGTCTTTGACTTTGATGCTTTTGAAGTGACATAAGTAACTTGCCAGCTGCAGGTTTATTTAGCCACTCATGAGGGCACTGGTTGTTGTGATACCCCACCTTTGTGTATTGAAGGACCATGCTGAGTAAGACAGCACTCAACCCTTATAAATATAACCTTTTTCCCCAGGAACCAAGACTTATTAGTGTAATATCTAAAATATGCCTCTGACAGGGGACACCGAAGCATATGAAAACAGTTAGAAATGCAACAGGGAGAAAAAGAATGCTTCCTGTGGGAGAATATACAGAAAGTGAGGTCTTGCTGACACTACTGGCTGTGTAATCCTGAAAAGTGATAAAAAAACAATATTAAATAGCATGTATTCAAATAGCATTATCACTTTAAAATGTTATTGTAGACCTCTCTATCCCCTCACACAAAATGCTGGGACTTGAAGCTTTTTTTTTTTGTCACTAAGTTTTACATTTGAAAACCATAGCTCTTCATTTTCTGATTTTTAACTATAGATGAGGTAAATACCATAATTAGTACCTTGTTTAATCTTCCTTCTGGAAGGCATGCAAAGTTTCTATGCTGTCTCAAGTCAATTCTGTGCAGGTGACTCTTTGGGGACTTCCTGGACCATCCAGGCAATTAGTGATACAAGTTCAGTGCAGCAGTATAGGCATAGCCCTGAGACCCAGCTACACCATTGTAATAAGGCAAACTTTTAATTTCATCTTTTTCCACATTTATAACTTGAACTCCATAGCCCTTGACACATGAACATATGTTGCCCGAGCTCATGCTCTGGCTCTGATTAGCTTGTTAGAGCAGACACAGCTGTGGGCTGCCAGGCTCCACCACGCTGCCTTTTAACAGCCATTTCCAAAATCATAGAGTAGCCACTCACCCTACAGTACTAATGGAGGTGCCTTTCTTCTAAAATATATATTCTGCTTTTTTCTTGTTGACAGATACTTGTCATTCAGTAAATGAACTAAAATACCCTAAAAATCTTTTATGTGAGAGGATCTGTTTTAAAAACTAAGATCTACAGAACATTGAAGTGCTTAGATTTAATGTTCATTCAGAAGTCACCTTTCCATAGAGATATTTTTTTGTGGTATACATACAGAAGTCCAGAAAATTAAGGTATTTAGACATTTAACATGGTTGTCATTGGTGCAAGATTCCAGGTGTTCAAATCCACACAGTTTCAGTCACTGTAAGAGTCTGTTATAGGTATGGAGAAGAGATACAAATGGTAGCAAATTATTTTCTCTTATTTTTTTTAATTTTTATTTTCCCCCTCTTTGCAGGTGACCTGGAACAAAAATTTGAACTGGAAATTAGCCCCCTTTGTAATCAGCAGAAGGATACAATACCAAGCATACAGATTGGTAAGTGTTGGTTTCATTCTCTTCTCCCCGTGTTTATCTCAATATGGCACAAGCTGAAAGAGAGACTTTTTCTTTTTTTCCCCACAATCTAGTTGTTTTACTAGTAAGAACTGTAAGTACCGTAAGAGTCACTATTTACATTCTAAATAAAAATGTTCAAAAAGAAACCTGTCCAAGCCAAATGTTCAAGAGAAAGGTGAGTCATTGCACAGGGATAAAAAGGGGTCATTCTAATGTCTGTGGAGGAGAATCGCAGCCAACGCATGTGAGCACACACCAGTTACTTTCTGGTCTGAAACCTCCTCAGAGAGGGATGCTGTCTCTCACAGATTTTACTGTTAACACACACAGATCCACATCTTGTCATGTGTGCTGGTGAAAAGCTGTGCCTTTCAAAAAGAGCCCTCGTCAGGGTTTTTGTCAGTTACGTTCCTGTTTTCTCTCAAGGCACTTGATGGGGCAGTGCACTCAGGGAATGAATGTGTTCCTCACCCGCTGCCCTTGGTGTGTTTCCCCAGGGTTCATGACGTACATCGTAGAGCCGCTCTTTGAGAGGTGGGCCCAGTTCACAGGCGATACCCCCCTGTCTGCAAACATGCTGAACCATCTCAGGAGGAACAAGGCCAAGTGGAGGAGTTTGCTCCACAAGCAACACAGCAGTAGTAGGAGCAATGACCACTCAGGTCAAGTGACTGGCAGCCAGGAACAGACTTTAAATGAAGAAGAGACTCCTTAGTGGCAGCTTTGCACTTCTTTTCCTTATAGCACTGCTATCTCTGTCTTGCTCACAGCAGCAAACAAAAGCCCGAGGAGCCAGGAGCCTGTCGTTGAGATCGTGGAAAGGGAAGGAACAGCAAAGCAGAAGCTGTAAGGGTCCTCACAAACAGGCCCTCGGCTCTGCTGGGTCCCTTTCTGGATCTCCTTCCCGTTCGTCTCCCCTCTCTTCATTCTGCACACGCCTAGTGCCATTTGTCACTTCTGCTAATGAACTGCCTGAACGCAGAGCCCCTGTCAGTGTGCTGAGGCCGGGCCGGTCGTGGCTGCTCTGAGGCAGGGAGGGTTGCTGAGAGAACAGGGGAGATGGAAGCACTCTTGATTAGATCTTCGTTTACCACGAGTCATACTGTGACATATGTATATAGGCCCAGAGCACCACAGGCTTTCCAGGCTGGCAGCTGGGCTGTGCATTGAACCACCAGCATCTTCAGCATCAGAGGGCACCGAGGGAGACAGCACTCGCAGCGAGTCTGGTTATTTTAGTAACTAAAACAGAAACCTTTTTAACTTTTGTATTCTGTGCACTAAACAACAGATCTAGAAACCTTGGACTGAAGTTATGCTCCATATACCCAACTCCAGCGTAACGAGGCTCATTTTGGTAATCATTTTTATGCCACTTTGGATAAAAGACAGGCATCTTCTCACTGCAAGGCACAGTATTCCCTCACAAATGTAAGGGAAAGTGTTGTATAGTCTAAGCCTTTGAAACACGAACAGCTCTATCTTTTGAGTACTGTTTCAAGTAACATGTTTATATTCATACATGTACATTTTCTGTAAATACAAAGCGCTACTGATTCCCATGCCAAAATACTGGAGTACTGTGGGATTGCTACCTGTAAAAACATTGGCACTGTGAACAGAATACTGTTAGTTTTAATACAAGAGAAAGCATTTGTAAATATGGTATAGAGTTTATTAATATACACCATTGTTTGTGGATAAAAGCCTTAACTTTTAGCATCCTTCATCTTCTGATAGCTGCCAAAATCATATGATCACAAGACATGATTCTGAACTGCCTTTCCACTATCCAAGGTGTATCAAAGGTCATAAAGGAATGAAGTCTGTCAGGATAACTTCTTGAAAACTTCAAACACATTCCATATGGGTCCATGTTATTAGTCCATGGCACCTTTCACATTCGGTCTAGGCAAATGCTTCACAGAGCCTGAAGTTTTAAGTTTGACAAAATAAAAACCAAAACCCACAGCAACACAACATTTAAACATTTAAACAGTTCAACCCAAGCACCATTTATTCAAGTGTGAGTTTTTATTAAATAGCTTAGTGATCTACAAAGCACGACATTCTAATAGCTCTGGAGTCCAATTGTTTTCTTGAGTGATATTGCAGTGTAGCTTATTTTTTTCCCCACGTTCCCACCTTAGCCATAATCGAACTGCATTTGTGTTTTTATTTTCACACCAAAAAAGAAATAAAACAAGTATTAAACTGACTTTTAGATCAGGCTCAACGAAAGAAGAAAAAAATGTGTTGTAGTCAGACTGTTAAGAAAAATCCTCTTGACTTTAGTAGTAGCTGAGGAATTTTCTACGGTCTCATGTTTGTGAAAGATATATGGCCTTCTCTATGCCATGAACAGCTTCAGTTCAGCAAGCCTTTAGAAACCTTTACTTAAGCTTCTATCATTTCAATGAAATTGTATTCCCAAGCACTGCTAGATGGCACCTTTGCCCCCCCGAAAAATTAAGTGCATTCAGGTAAACTGTAGTGTTGTTGTAAACCCTCAGTACATTAAATCTGCGTATCTGTTTTCCAGAAGAACATGGTTAGGTGTGAATACCTTGGAGAGGCCAACAAAAAAGATCTATCTAAGTTGGTGTTTGAGAAATATAGTATTTATCATAAATGTGCAAGGAGAGATATAATAGAGTTTTTCTTAATTACATGGAATGTTGATTAGACAAAGTGTTCATGATTGTAAGGTGAACAGAAAAATAGAAAGTTTAAGTTTTAGTACAGAATGTTTTACTCTACTAATTCATTGGATGTGTATCTTCAGAGAAACAGACTGAACCCAAGTGAAGTAGGAAGGTGGAAATCACTATGAGGACACAAAGAATCCAGAGAACAGTGTTTTTCTCCTCTGCTCTTCTGTAAGCTACAAGTTGTTGAAAATATTCTTCCTCACTCTTCTAAATGTGACTTACATTTTAGAAAGAACGAGTAAAGAGAGAGAGTTGTAGTAGAAAAAAAAATATTTCTAACTACAGGACAGAAAGGTCTTTTTAACCACCTGATGGTGGGGGCAGGAGTATCACCATTTTGCAGCTCTTTAGGTGTATCATTCCTTCTGACAGATTCAGGACAGTTATTAGGACATTACAAGAGCAGTGTAACGTGTTGCTTAGGAGCACTAAAGTACAAAAAAAAAAAAAAAAAAGAAGGGATATAATTTCCCTTGGTTTTTTCTCTTTACCAAGAAATTTAAGCCATTTTCCATCTAGTTCAAATAATTATTTTTTTTATATTCTGAATTTTACTTCAACCCAGTGTCCAGCAGCATAAAAAGCTCTCAACAGATATATTGTTGAGCTGTATCTGAGGAGCTTCCAGAAGATAGTTCCAAGCTTGGGTACAAGTCAAGTCTGTTACAGTTACAATAAAACCAAGACCTTTCCTGTAAATAGAGCCTACAAGGTCCTTTACAAGTCTGCTCTTACCAAGTTAAAATTTACCAAATTCAAAAAGCTGCTCTTAAAGTGAACAGTTTGTAGGGTTTTTTGGTGCACTGAACGTACTTGCGTGATTCCACTCATCTTGGCTAATGAAACAATGCTTGAAATAGGTTCAGGGTGGCTCCAGAAATGCATCTATACTCATGAGCCAAACCCATTACTCAAGATGGGTTCTGGGCCAGTTTGCCTCAGGTGCCCTAGACAAAAGTATGCTGACAAGTCAGGCTCTGGCAGCAGATGCCTGGCAGCCAGAGTCACTGGGGTCTGTAAGGCATTTGATTTCTCTTAGAAGAAAAACTGATCTGATACAGCCAATCCAACAGCACCAGTGCCCAGTGTATGTGGTTGTGATATATACTTGGTATTATCTAGTTTGGAGAACTTTTCTGTACTGGGATTTATTGCCAGGATGCCAACAGAATGCTAGATGCACAGAATAGAACAACATCTATGCAGATGATGCAGATTTTTATCTTGCCAGCCCTTTTAGCCACTTCACAGAAAGCCCTTGGAAATTATTTTTCTTATTGGGCCAGTGCAGCTAAAACATATTGAAGTTTTAAAACTGAGATAAGTTTTTAAACTTAGATAAGTTTTTCATATAAGGAAAGAAGCAGGAGCTTAAAACACTTTTTTGCCCCACAAATAAAATTAATTTGATTAAAACCTAGTTTATTTAAATGTAGATTTTATATCATCAGAGAGGCAAAGTTTGTATAAATAACAATAATAACAATCATAAAGTGGTGATAAGTGAAACTTTTAGGCTGGTTAAAATAATGCATACATATGCATTTAATTAAGAAAAGATTTTTACCTACCTTTAGATTTTGAAGGGTCAAATGTTCCAGCCACCAAAAAGGGGAGAAAAGGACTGTTGAAAATGTGTTCCTTTGAAATACAGAGAGAGGAGTAGCTGAGATTAAGTAGAATCTATGGAGAAAAAAAAAGCCCACATGATCTGCAGTTGTATCTAACCTAATCTAAAACAAGTAAATTATTTTTATATAAACGTGGTTTTTATGAAGAAACTCCAAGACTCCCCAAACAATCAGTGAGAAGGCTACTACTACAGGACATGAGTTAAACCCATTTCACACTGCACAGCTGTCTCACCAGCTTTGCCAATCTGCCATTGAAATTTCTGTTACAAGTTTCCAACAAAACAGAGTCAGAATGCATATCTAGTCCTTCCAAATGGACTCTCCTAGAAAAGGAGAAACATGCAAGTAGTTATACTTTTATTTTCAGATATCAGTTGGAGTACCAGTCATTAATTACAGCCTTATATTTGAAGTAACTCAGCTGAATTGTCCATTAAGTACTCCCATTGCCCTCCTGACACCACCATCCCCCACTCATGGCCCACAAAAATCAATACTTAAATTTGAATTAAGATCCTGCAAATCTAAAGAAAAGCCACACTAAAACAAAGAAACCCAAGGCAAGCTTCATAACACAAATATGTATCCAAATTACTTTGATTGGCACAAACTATTCTTCTATTGTTTGTTTCTATAATCCAACCAATATTTTAGGTACATAAAACTTTAAGTGCAGAGCGTAAGTTTGACTTGGATGTAAAATATATTCTGCTTATCTTTGAATTCAAGATTGTATATGTCATGTTAATTGTAAAGCATTTTATATATACATATTCACATATCTTATACAACTCTATGGGCCAAACACTGGTCCCACCAGCTTCACTGGGATCAAGAATCAGCCCCCGTATGTGCGTATATATGCCATATGCATCATTCTGAAAGGAAGCACTAGATTGTGTGACAATGCTGTGACTGCTATGCAGTGATGCCAAGAGATTTAACTGTATCTTTTTTAACATACTGCTGTAAGTATTCATCATGTCAAAGAATGACAACTAATAAAAAAAAATGAAAAAAGAAGAAGAATGAAGTGTGGAAAGTTCTTTGGTAGGGCCAGTTGATGGAAAGCATCTCCTTGGTTTGCAGAAGACACTGGTTTGGCAAGGCAGCAGAAATCCTGCTGTGTCTGTCCTCCCACTGCCTGTCTCTCCATACCAACAAAATAATCTCCTTCCTAGTGGACTGTTTCTGAGAAGAGCTTTTCTCTAAATTTGCCCACAGAAGTAACCAGCAAGAAAAGTATTTCCAGATCTTCTAACTATATAGTAGAAGGATTTTCAAAGGCCAGAGAGAATGTTTCCCTGTGTAAGTAAAGAAGAGGGAATTGTCTGTTATTATTGTTTCAATACAAGTAACTAGTTCTGCTTAGTGTCATTGGTCAGTTCTAATCTGCTTTCTCCTTTCTCAGTTGTGGACAACATGCAACATGATAGAGGCATGTGAAGTGTAACTGAAAATAAGGGCAATATTGACTTTCTGCACCAATGAGTATTTCTAAGTGAGAAATACCTGTCATCACTGATGCTGCCTCTGCAGGGGCTCTTCTTGACTTTGATACATTTCCAAAGGCAGA